TTGTTAGCATTTGCAGAATTCAGACTTAATGGCAGTTGCCCTGATGGAAACAGAGAACTTTGCAACTACCTGCTGAGAAATAACAAGTAATATGCTAATCACTGCATAATCTTGAACTTTGACAAATTTAAACCCGCTTTCCATTTTCCGTTCTATTTCTACCAAAATAAAACCACATGAAATTTGACATGTCTCACATTACCTTACTGAACATTTTATTTGGAAAGCTTAACCTAATCAAAGGGAAATCACTTGTAGATAGAGAAACTGCATTGCTGACCTGCCAGTTACCCTCACTGTAAAATATATATTTTTTTAAATGCCCTAACATTTCCTTTAATGCCAACTATCAGAATGAACTTACCTATAAACTTCAATTTTCCTTGCAATGCAGCAGACATAAAGAACCAGCCCACAGGCCTGGGCACCTGTGAAAAACCCTGCCCAAAAATGGGCTTTAAAATAGACAGAGACATAGAATCATAGAATCATAATCTAGGTTGGAAGGGACCTTAAAGATCATCTAGTCCAACCATCAACCTAACTCTGACAATAAAAATAAATAAGAAATAAAAAAAAAAAAAAAAAATCACTAAACCATATTCTTGAGGACCATGTCTACCCATCTTTTGAACACCTCCAGGGATGGTGCCTCAACCACTTCCCTGGGCAGCCCATTCCAATGCTGGATAACCCTTTGTGTGAAGAAATTTTTCGTAATATCCAATCTAAACCTCCCCTGGTGCAACTTGAAGCCATTTCCCCTTGTCCTATCTCCTGTGACTTGGGAGACAAGACTGACCCCCGCTTCTCTACACCCCCCCTTCAGGTAGTTATAGAGAGCAATAAGGTCTCCCCTCAGCCTCTTCTCCAGGCTGAACACCCCCAGCTCCCTCGGCCTCTCCTCATAAGACTTACTCTCCAGACCCCTCACCAGCTCCATTGCCCTTCTCTGGACCCGCTCCAGCCCCTCAGTGTCTTTTTTGTGGTGAAGGGCCCAAAACTGCACATGAATGAACTGAAAGCCGAGTCCAGGTCCCAGATGTTCAGAGCTCTCATGTGAATATCATCATATGTGTGTCACTGTTTATATCACTATTTTACAGGCTTCCAAATGCTGGCTGTGAGTTCTGCACGCTCACCCACCCCTGACAATACCAAGAATAACAGTGGCATCACCCCTGATCTCCTGTTATGATCCCAAAGTCTTTGTTGTGTCCTGGACACTTTGAAAATAGGGGCATATCCCTCTTCTAGAGGGCCAAGATAAGTAGGTGACAGGTTTGATCAGGGTGGACAGTAGGTGTCCATGGGGAACATGGGCAAGAAAGCCAGCACGCAGAAATGTGGGAGCATCTAGGGATGAATGAAAAGCATCCTCATCTTGGTTCAAAGATGGGTGTTAATAGAATCATAGAATCATAGAATCATACTTCTCATTGCAGCAGTTGAAGCTCCCTCAGGGATTCCCAGTGTCACAGCACATGAGCTCCCAGTGCTGTGGGCACAGAGCTATCAAGACCTGGTTTCCTACAGCGGTATCCAGCAATCAACAGCTGGACATCCCATATCTTTACCCCAAACTGCTGGCGGGGAAAGAAGCTGGAGCTATGAATGTGCGGTATCCAGCAATCAACAGCTGGACATCCCGTATCTTTACTACTTTTTCCCTTCCAGCAATGCTTTCTCTCTGTCATAGGCCCGAACCTCTGGTGGGGAAAGAAGCTGGAGCTATGAATGTACCAACTGGATGTGGTAACTGGGTAACAGTCAGATGAACGGTATGGAGAACTACAAGGTTCCTACTTTCCTGGGTCAGGGAGGTGGTGGAGTGGAGGAAAATTAATTTTTTGAGCAAAATTCATTTTTCTCACCTCTATCAAGCCACCAAATTTCACAGTTTGTAAGCATTTTCGACAGGTCAACACTGATGGAAGATCTGGAAAAGATTTGTCAATGGGAGTGAAAAGGGGTTGGGGAGAAAGGGGAGGGAGTGATTGACAGATGCAAGAGTTGACATTAAAGCGTCCTTCAGCCCAACAGAACAACCTGTTCTTCCTGAAAACACCTCTTTGTGGCAAGGTCTTTGCTACAAAACTCCTGGCTCCTATTGTCTCAAGGAAGAATAGGACAGATTTATCCCAAGGTCTCAGGGTTTTCATTCACCCATAACTATGCGGCCCTGTAACAACATGGTATTACTATTGTTAGCAACAGGCCTGTAGCTTTGTATTAAGTTTTCAAGGTGTCAGGACTGAGCCTTGTTGCTTGCTCTGATTGAACATTTCTTGACTATTCTTCAGTTTTGTTTTAACTTGGTTTAGTTGTCACAGCAATTTGTTTAATTGGCCAGGTGTCTATGGCTAATTCATTTTACTTATGTTTATCTTCGTACGGTACAACTACAGTTTTATAGAGACAGAAATAACAAGCACTTAGTCCATGTAGAGTGAGATATTTATGACTCTAGCACAATGATGTGGTATAGAGAAATCCAAGCCTGGTACAATAGCAGAGGCTTTGAGAAAGGGAGACTCAGGACATGGCGTAGAGGAGTACTGGCAGGGGCTAAGAGATCCCCCAGTTGGCACTGGAGACCTCATCACCACAAATAACTCACCCATAGTCAATTAAAGGAAATGCAGACCTGCAGCTGAACAAAGCTGGTTTTAGAGTTAACAAAAAGAACAAAAAAATAATATCTAACATACAAAACAGGCACCAAATATAGAATATTTGGATGTAACCTGAAGTTGCAGACCAATTTAGAATGGCACAAAAATATAAAACCAGCCCCAAGTGGATCCTAGAAGGAGGACAAAAAAACCATCAACGCAGTCGTCTTCCTCCCAGCAAACAATTTTAGATGCTGATGATTTGTGTTAAGATCCTGCACTCCTCAGCACCACAACCAGCCTGAAACTACCCTAGGACCCAGAGAAGCAGTGGAAAAGTGTGCGTAACACCAGGAAAAGGGGTAGAAAATAAAAGCATAACTACTGTAACTGATCTTTTTTTTTTTTTCTGAAACGCTTAATTCTAGCCTAATAATTATGACACTCTTAAGATTTCAGTTATATCAAAATGGCTTTATTTATATATAATGTGTACTTACTCTTTGCCTATAAACAAGATTTTGAGCATAATAACACAAAGAACAGTGGTTGCTGCCCTCCAGTCCTTTCATTTGGGAGAAAAGAGATATTAGCAACCTGTATCCTCTATTGCCCAGGTTCATTGAGGCTAAAGGACCAAGCCTTCATAATAGGTGGAGAGGGCTGTTTGAGGTACCCCACTGTTCTAAGGAGTAGATTTAAGACTGGCTAGATGAGTCACATCCATTATTTCAATATTAATACTCAGTAACAAATGGCTTTTGCCTACAGATTATGATTTATCAGCTTAGGGATTCTGTACCTAAAGGCAAGGTCCCTTCACACACAGGATCTTGCCCAGCAAGGACTATGGAATATCTCTGTAAGAAGGAAAGCAATTTATCATGTCAGATTCCCATCTCTGATGCTGGATGTTTTTTCAAGCATCCACAAGGATTCAAACCTGCTCACCAGCCCCAAGGACCACAACTGCAGGAAGAAAAGTCTCACATCATTGTCTCTACTCTAAAGCTATCAGGATTTCCATACATTCAGCACGGGGCTAGAAACTAACAAAGACAGAAACCATCTTTATGATTAGGGGGTACTGACTGTCTTCAACTAATTACCTTGCTACAAATTCAAAATAGTCCATTTTAGGATTTATATGAAAGTTATTACATAAGTTAATACCTAGATAATTCCCTTTTGCACATTGTCATGATGTATACCTTCATTTTTTGGGGCAGACAGAAAGGTTAAAAACAGAAATTTGAAAAAATAGTCTCTTCTTGCTCTAATGAACCAGACCCAAAGCCTAGCTCTTAAACAGATATTACAGAACTGACCCTCCTGCTGCTAAAATGGACATTAAAGATGGCACTCCTGTTTTCTCAATGCTTTTTACATTGGGGAGTTTCTAAATTCTGTCCCTCCTTCATTGCAATGAAGAAAACAGTTGCTACAGCACAAGGTGAAACCACAGAGCTCCTTTTCTCTGAGGAAAGAACAGCCTACCTCACCAAGTGTAGCAGCTTGTGACAGGTCTTTCTCTCAGATCCCAGTGAAAATAAAGCCAGTTTCATTTCCAAGCTTTGAATTCCCCTATGAAAATCTGAACAAAAATACATGGAATATATACATACATATATATTTATATAGTGCCACTGGCTCGCAAATAAGCAAAAGCAATTCTTTTAGGTCTGCAGGTTATTAAGACAACCCCTTGGCAAAAAACCTCTGGCTATTAGTAAATGAATCAGTAAATCTCAATCAGAAGATAAATCACCATTTTAGGGAACTAATTGTGATCTCAAGAAGCTCCTACTAACGTTGGGGCACAGGTGGATTGGGAATTAGAAGAAATACTGCTACCACCTTCAGCAGAAAACCCTCCAAGCAGTGCACAAACATGACTGGAATGAAAGCTCACAGTGTGGGAACAAGACAGATGCTATCCACTTCTTATGGCAGACTGGAAAATAGCAGACAGCAGTTACATGCCCCACTGAGGTCTCCAAATAAGTCAGCAGGGGCTCTGAGAACTGAACCTAGGGCTTATAGGCTCCTTCTTCAGCCGCTGCAACACCAGGAACAATGAAGGATGAAAGTTTCAGAGTTATCCTCTGGACACAAAGATAAGAGCAGGCCGTTTTTCCTGCTAGTGTGAGCACGTAGGCATGTGTGTAACAGTTATATACAGAATCCCCTTACATTTCAGACAGGACTTTTCCCTTGGAAGAAGTTAGATACACACAAGCAAGCTCAAAGCATCCATCCATCTACAGCGCAAGTCACTTCCCGAGGCTTGTGATTACAGGTATTCCTCTTTCAAGAGAAACACCGCAACACTTCCCTCTCCAGTGTCTGTCAGAAAAGAATTAATTCACAAAACTGATACTTGTCTTTTCTAAAAAAATATATTTTAATAATAAATGTTCAAAATTTTTAAATTACATTTAAACTCAATTTTTTTTTCCTTAGAAACTCTTGGAGATCAGGATATTAGCAATATACAATATTTCTTCATTTAAGACAGAACAGCCAATAGATAAAATGATTTGTGACTTGTAGTACTCTGCACTCAAGACTGCAAGTTCATAAACCTACAAACAAACAGAATTATTTCTTCAGTAAAATGGAAAATCATAAATTGCATGGAACATTAGATTCCTGTATGCCACCACACCAGTCCCCTAAAAGTGAGGAATGTTGCTTCGATGCCTTCACAGCAACCCATGGGCTACGCTGTCTCCAATTTTCACTCCAGAAGAAATATGCAGCCTAAAAGAATTTAGGACTGGGAAAGCTCATAGACATGCTGATGATTCCCTAAAAAATATGGCCTACTAAGAGAATAGTCACGTCATAGGAAAGATGGAGCTGACTTCAAGAATGTCCTTTTGGTACTCTGTCACACATCGACTGCATCATACCAATATCTGCTTCTCTATAGCTCCATGATTCAAATGAGTAATGTCCAAGAAGCGTGTCTTTCCCCCACTTCAGGATGTTTTTTTCTGCTGTTGATGCTTTCAAATTACGTTTCAGGACCTTATCCAATAGTACACAGCTTTTTCTCAAGCAGAAGCAATTCGGAGTAATTTATATCCACATTCTTTACAACAGAAGCACTGACTTCTCCAGGATGTTGAGAAGTGCCGCGGTGCGGGTGATGCAGCAAACCAGAGGGGTCAATAATGGTCCTACGGTGCAGGCTGATGACTGAAGCTGAACTGCGAAAAATACTGGAGTGGAAGAACCTGTCAAAGAATGAATACGATAAGTACATTCAACATCAAGCATAATATTTTATCTTCTATGTAAATAAAAACCATTCATTAGGAATTCAAAATATTAAAAAATGCTAAATAGGAAACCTGGTCAAACACTCTGTACTTACTAGTGGCAACCAAACCTCACAAGGTACTGAGAAGATCTTGCCCAGTGCTGTTGTGATCCTCTATACTCTACTAGCTCCAATGGGATTTATCATAGAATCATAGAATCATAGAATGGTCCAGGCCGGAAGGGACCTACAAAGGCCATCTAGTCCGACCTCCCCGCAGTCAGCAGGGACACCCCCAACTAGACCAGGTTGGCCAGGGCCTCATCGAGCCTCTCCTTGAATACCTCCAGGGATGGGGTCTCAACCTGGGCAACCTGTTCCAGTGCTCCACCACCCTCACAGTAAAGAACTTTCTCCTCATCTCCAGTCTAAATCTGTTCCCCTCCAGCATAAAGCCATTTCCCCTCGTCCTGTCACTACAGGCCTTTCTAAACAATCTCTCCCCAGCCTTCCTGTAGGCCCCCTTCAGGTACTGGAAGGCTGCTATTAGGTCTCCCCGGCTGCTATTAGGTCTCTTCTCCAGGCTGAACAACCCCAGCTCCCTCAGCCTGTCCTCATAGCAGAGGTGCTCCAACCCGCTGATCATTTTAGTGGCCCTCCTCTGGACCCGCTCCATCAGGTCCATATCTCTCCTATACTGAGGGCTCCAGACCTGCACACAATACTCCAGGTGCTCTCACCAGAGCAGAGTAAAGCGGAAGAATCACCTCTCTGGACCTGCATTTAAGCAATCATTCCCTTTTTAAAGAGTTGTCTTGACTTACGCAGCCAAAGAATATCTGCTTCCTAATAAAACTTCCTCTGCTACTTTTTTTGAGCTGGGTTGAAAACACCACAGCCTGATTTAATCATCGCACATCCCCAGGAAGCCACACTAGGTGAAGTCTTCCTCTACCTAAATTTTGGAAGACAATACTTGGGGGGAAGAATAAATAAATTCATGGGATACTGTGACACCTCCCTACTTGGAAAAAAACTACGGCTGTGCAGCACATGAGAATGATGAAGAGAATTGGTAATGTAATATTTTTTTCCGAAAATTGACTGGATAAAGTCTGAGTTTGCTTCAAAGATGACTTTAGAGACTATGAAACAGTCCTCCATCCCTCCATAGTGACCACATCCAAAACTATTCAATTAAAATAGACCGAGGGAAACACTCTCGTATTTAAGTAGATGACTAATGCTCATAACTTAGTAAAGGAAGGCTTTTGGCTTTTTAAAACATCTCTAATGAGAAGCAGATCCTTCTCCCTCCTTCTTAGACCTTCAACAATCATTCATAAAGCAATATACATTTTTCTTCATATTCTCCTCTAAGTAGGTCTTGGAATCAATGGCACCAGCAGAACAAACACCCTTCTTGGTTGCTGTTGCTAGTGAAAGTTCTTCCCATTTCGATTATTCATTTCTCACCCTCAAGTAAAGAGCAATGTTCAGACAGGAACTGCTAAGCCCATCACCACGCTCAAGCTCCAGATCCTTCACAAAGGTGTAACCTCAGGAACGGGACTGGGAAGCTCCTGCACAGCCATGAGAGGAGGACTGCAGCAGGGCCATTGCTTTTGCACCCCCTTTAATGATGGAGAAGGATCACAACCTCATTCTTTCTCTGCCTCCTAAAGCGGAGTTTGGCTTTACAAGTCATGGGGTAGAGGTATCCACGTGTGCTGTGGAAAGGAGTGCTTCTGCCCTAAAGAAGGTAAGTTCGATTGATGGAGGAGGGAACATTCTCTGTCTCTCTGAGCTAAGAGATCAAGCAGCCTGCTCTGAGAGTGAGTGTATTTGACCCAAGATTAAGGAAAACCTCTGTGTGATGTTGTTTCACATGCCTGTAGCCATCCCATCTTGCAAACTCAACTCCTGCTTTGAGAACCTGATAAATCTTAGAAAGGAGGAGATGACTGGGTGACACCAGTATGGTTGCCTTTTGGAAAAACTGTCGAATGAACCTGTTCAACAACACTTTCTTTCTAGGACTACAGCCACACACACAACACACATACACCCATCTTCCTCCAGAACAACTCTTCCCACAGTGCCCTAAGAACACCTCTGCTGTTCCTGTGGGATTTGTGAGGAAACCTTGGCCAAGTTAACATCAAAAGGAGCTTTACAATAACACCATTAACACTCTGTTACTGACAAACGAATTAGCATCGAGCATGCGCAGACACTGCACTGACACACTCCAGCCAAATAACCTCAGATAGCACCAGAAGTAAAACGTCTAAAGTGCCAAATTAAGGCCACAGTGCATTACAGAGGAAAGTTTAACAATTATAAGACTGCGTGTTAAAAGGAAGCTTTTTCCCTCTAAGAGCTCATCACTCCGCTAAGAATGCGAAGAACTGGCTTCGAGGTTTAAAAGCTCATCAAACCAGTGAGACAAAGCAAGGTGCTTCCCTGTCCCGTTCTACTGCATGGCAAGTCTTCCCTGAGCAACAGCTCCACCTCAAACCAAGCGCTGGCAACGAACAGAAGGGTGAATATTTTTTTTTCAAGAGTCTTTTTCTGCTCTTTCCCACGGTAGCAGGGTGCCTAAAATACTCCACCTCGTTTGCTCCCGTCGCTGTGTTTCTCATTACCCGGCTGTTCTTGTTCAGTGATACAAATGTACTGCCTCAGTACTTTAAGAATCTGGGGCAAATTGTACTATTAATCTTGTTTTTTTTCCAGAGAATATATCAGACAGTAAGTGGATTAAGTTTCCATATCCTGCCTTACTGATGTCTGTTTGCATTGATTAGTAGTCTGGGAACAGTAGATCAATTTATAAGACAATTTCACCTTTGGTTTCTCTGCCTGCATTTTGCCCGATTATTGCCAGTTTTGATTCAGTGGTGTGGACATCAAACCATTAAAAATAACAAATCAGTCACTGGAAAACCACCATATGTCAATGTCTTTGATTACTGTTCATGAGATCGTGACTTTTTTTTAAGATGCTTATGAAAATTCTGCTGAGCATCCCTGAAGGAGCGTATCATACCTTTTCTCCTCAGTGCAATAGGAAGGCTTAAATTTGGCTGACTTATTACAGTTCCAGTAAGTCTTCAAGATCTGTAGAAAGGTGCCAGACCAGTAAGCAAATAATAAGTGACAAAATGAAAGAACAATGTTTTCTGGAGCGGGTTCTTCTAATTCTATAAAGATTAAAATTTTACATGTTGTCTTTTCTAAGTGATAGGATGTCATCTAAACGGGATCTACCACTGCCTCTGACAGAGTTCCATTTGAATTCCTGAAAAAAACAATTTTCTGAGTTGTATGGAGGGAGGGGGAAAAGAAGACCCAGAGTTAACAGGTTTTATCAAGTAACTATAGAAGACAAACACCTAGAAGGTGGATTTTAAAACAAAGACCTAAGGGAAGAGTATAGCGTGCAATTTCTATCCGAAAACATAAAAAGAAAGAAAAAACAAATGACACTGTAGGAAGGAAATAATGGCAAGGCTTTGTGTGTGCACTGCCTGGATGATGAGAAATACCGAAAGAGTTATGCTTAGATACATGGTACAGACAATCACAAGATAATCTTGTAGCTGAACTGTTAATGCAACTTGTTTAGAAGGGACAAGAAAAAGGGACACTGCAGGGCACACAGTAATAAGTTGGTCTGAGGGACCCAGGCAAAAAAAAAATGCGTGTTTCCAGTCTGTTTTGAGACAGGAAGAGAGAAAAAGATTAAAAGTTGGAGAAGTACAAAATATAAGGCTTGGGATTTCTGGCGTGTGAAGAGACTGCAATTGCAAACATCCCTCTGGAGACCGTGCCAACACCATCTGACCCGTGCACCTACTCATAATCATTGCTCTAGAAAGTTCAGGTAAACAATTTAACTTAACCAAGAAGCAATGGCAAAGAGTAATGCAGAGCTCAAGGGAGTGAAAAAATTAATTTATAGCAATATATTATTCACTAAAGAAAAATATCTTTTATTAATCACTGCCAAATTGGTAACTGGAATAAACAGGAGCTCACAGAGATATTTAACATCAATTATTCTTCATAGGTCATAAATAATAGAAGGAAAAAGAGGATTCTGCCTGGGAAAAACTAGTTATGCATTTTCTAAAATACAGTGGGAGCAGCGAAGGTGGCTTTATAAGAAGGTAATGCACAACTACTTTGAATTTCTGCTTCCTCTTTGTATTAAGAAAAATATTTAAGCTGTAATTACTGAACATCATTACAGATGCTTTCAAAGATCTTTAAATATTTAACTACTCAATCTTCACAATATTGCCATTAAATAGATGTTTCTCCGTAGCCCCAATTTACATAAGAGAAACATCTTTTAAAGCTTATTTTACAAAGTGGGTTTGTTTCTTTCATGTGGTGCTGGAAACCACAAAAAATTACTGCATGGATGCCTCTGCAGGTGCAGCTTTGTAGATGCGGGCATGAATGAGAGGTTTTCAAGCTCTTTGATTATTGCTGCCAGTCAAGCCGACATTCACCGCGGCCCCCAAAGCGTGGATGCAATTAAGTAAAAGGACAAAACCCTATCTGCAAATTTCCAGTCCAGCCGGAGGCTCCTTCAAAGTTCAGCTTTGGAGAAGGAGGGTCCCGCTCGCGACTGCACAGGGCGAGCGCTCGGCTCTGCCAAGAGCAGCCTCTGTGAGTTCTTGGCACTTCACCTCCAGCTCAGTCGACTGATGGATGCTGCTTTTCTGAGCCAAATCTCCAAGCAGAGGCAAGGCAAGGCAAGGCAAGGCAGCAGGCTTATTTTAAAAATGACATTTCAGCCGAGAAAACGTATAGAATAACTGAAAAGACTTGCGGCAAGCATATAGAATCTACCCGTAGATTTTGACCACAGAATTACTGGTTGATCTAACACTAGATTCAGAAGCTCTATACAAAAGAATATAAAAATAGTATAGCTTGATGAATGAGCCTGGATGTTCC